CCCACTAAATGACAGAAAGGTAGAAAATGCAGAAATATTTTTCAATCCAGAAGAAGGCCGCGCAGACCAACTAACCGACATTAGTACAAATCCCATAGATTTCGAAAAAGAAATGGAAAACATGCCCACTCATTCAGCACCTGGACCAGATTCATGGAATGCTCTATTTATAAAGAAGTGCAAAGTACCACTAGGACGAGCCCTCAGTATTCTTTTAGAAAGAGCTTAGATCAACGTGAAATACCGGAGGCCTTAAAGAGTGCAGACATAGCTCCTTTGCACAAGGGAGATAGAGCACTTGCACAAGCTAAAAATTACAGACCAGTAGCCCTAACCTCTCACATCATAAAAATCTTCGAAAGAGTGATGAGACGGCAGGTTACAAATTTCATAGACCAGCACAACCAACATAACCCTAACCAGAATGGTTTTAGAGCACGACGATCATGTCTGTCACAGCTTCTGAACCATTATGACAGAATTACGGAGGCACTGGAAGACGACCAAAACGCAGATGTGATTTACACAGATTTTGCAAAGGCGTTTGACAAATGTGATCTTGGAGAGATAGCGCACAAAATGAAGGCCATGGGCATTACGGGGAAGGTAGGCAGATGGATTTTCGGTTTCCTAACACACACAACACAAAAAGTAGTAGTGAACAGAGCAAGATCCAGCATCAGCGAGGTCAAAAGCTCAGTGCCCCAAGGCACTGTCCTGGCACCTCTGCTGTTCCTCGTCCTCATAGCAGACATAGACAAAAACACCCGGCACACTTTTGTATCATCATTTGCAGATGACACTAAAATAAGCATGAAAGTCAGTACGGTAGAGGACACTGAAAAAGTACAGGAAGACATAAACAGGGTTTTCCAGTGAGCAGTGGAAAACAACATGACGTTCAATGGTGATAAGTTCCAGCTGCTTAGGTATGGAAAGAATGAAGAACTCAAAAGGAGCACTAAATACAAAACTCAAGAGGGTCACCAAATAGAACGTAAGGAACACGTAAAAGACCTGGGAATAATTATGTCAGCGGACCTTTCTTTTAAAGACCATAACAAGACAAAGATCACGACAGCCAGGAAGATGACTGGGTGGGTACTGAGAACTTTCAAAACAAGGGAAACAATGCCGATGGTGACACTTCAAATCGCTAGTGCTCCCTCACTTAGAATATTGCTCAGTGCTGACGGCCCCGTTCAGGGCAGGAGAAATATCGGAGCTGGAACAAATTCAGAGATCGTTTACGGCTCACATTGAGCCAGTAAAGCACCTAAACTACTGGGATCGCCTGCAAGTCTTGAACATGTATTCATTGGAGCGGAGGAGAGAGAGGTACATGATAATATATACCTGGTAGGTACTCGAGGGCTTGGTCCCAAATCTGCACACTGCCATAACAACATACTGGAGTGAGAGATATGGGAGGAAGTGTAAAATAAACCCAGTGAGGAGCAGGGGTGCGGTGGGGACAATAAGGGAACACTGTATCAACATCCGGGGTCCCAGACTTTTCAACATCTTACCAGAAGATATCAGAAACTGCTGGAACAAGTGTTGAAGCCTTCAAGAGGAAACTAGACAAGTATCTTCACCAGGTGCCAGATCAACCAGGCTGTGATGGACATGTGGGGCAGCGGGCCTCCAGCAGCAACAGCCTGGTTGACCAGGCGAGCACCAGACGAGCCTGGCCCATGGCCGGGCTCAGAGAGTAGATATACTCTCGAAATTCTTCAAAGGTATGTCAAAGGTAAAGGTAAGGTAAGGTCATTGAGGTCTGTTTGGTTTGGATAGTAAGGATTCCTCCCAACAACTGCATCTGTTCTGCATCATTTTCTGATTTTTCTGCTGTCTTCTTCTGACGGTTGACGTCTTTCTGGAGGTGTAGGTACAGGAAGATCAACACTGTGTGGTACTGGTGTAATAGAAGAGGGAAGGTCTGGATAAGAAATAGCTGGTGCATTTTTCCCAGTTCGGTGTTGGGAAGGATCCACCAGACAGAAGTAGCAGTTAGTAGAGTGATCAGTGAGTTCACACCATATTCTAGGAACACCAAACTTCATGGCTCTTTTTTCTCCTCTATATCATCCTGTAAAAGAACAAAAGAATTAGTTTCTGTTACATACATTTCATTTAAAAATGTTCCTTTTCAATATTTTACCCTTCATATTACTAACGACTTTCTTACCTTCCAATGTTTTCTTACAATGTTCACAAGCAACATGAGATGCCCAGGTCTTGTCTTGGCCCACAACTGGCATGCGAAAATATGCTTTGTAACCTTCACACATTTTTTTTAGAAGCTGTTACAAAGAACTTCTTTGCTCTTGCCTTGATGAATTGACCACATATGTAGCAGAATGCGTCGGGAGAATGACTGCAGCCTCTTAATGCCATTTCACTTCTTCTGATGTGTCTTCTCAGGCAGCCAGAGCTGAACTGAATGCTCGTTTGTGAGACCCTGTTTTTATATTTGCCAAGCAAAACCCTAAAACATAATAGTTTTACATCAGACTTTCTTGAAGGTGTTCCAGAAGTGTCTTGACCACAAAAGCAAAGTTCTGCGATCAAAATTGCATTTTTAAACTATGTTTAGTTATAAAGAATTAGGAAATGATGCTTATTTCCCAGGAACACGACAGAAGTGAAATTTTGTTACATAGTGCTTTTATTGTTCGGCGAATCGTTTGTTATATTGTTCAAGCAAGCTGTTTTGATTGCTTTGTTGGTCAAGAAGATAAAATATTTGAGAGCGTTTAGTCAGTCACTGTTTAGTCTAAGACGAGTCTTGTCTTATTGAGACATAATGAACAACTCTGAGCACATACACGCTTTCTCACACACACGCTTGTATATCCAAGTATTGTTTTTATAGTTAATAACAACGTACCAGACGGTACTTGCGTGTCATGACACTAATATGATATGTACCTTCAACATTATACTACTATATGCACAATTTAACTCTGCACTACAAGAGCAGTGTAGGATCTTATATCCTAAATTATATAAAATTCATTTGTTTTGATTTTGTCCGCCTAGACAACTTTGTTAATAAACTTCTCAGTTTTTATTTCGTTAGTTAGTATCCTATCAGTTGCAATCCTAATCATGGGGGAGCGCCAAACCCGTAGGATTATACAGCGCATATGGGGGAATGGGAGGCATACAGAGCACAGATCCAATTCCCTAGATCAAGAGCCTTACCAGCGTCAAGGAACTTCCGTTGAGGGGTGCAGTCCTAAAGCACTATTAAAATGTATCATAATTTTAAAGGATAACTGAAGCAGAATACTTTCTGACAAACTGTTACGAGACAAGAAACAAACTAGATGCTGGAGGGAGATCCATAAGTTGTCCTATTATTCTCTGGAGATGTCTTCCCTCAAGGAAGGTTCCTTTATGCTGGTGAGAGGCTCTTGATCTAGGGAATTAGATCTGTCCTCCAGTTCCCTGAATTAAGCCAGAATACCTTCCACATCCCCACAGAGGCGCTGTATAATCGTACGGGTTTAGCGCTTCCCTTTGATAATAATAATAATAATAATATAATAATAATAATAATAATAATAATAATAATAATAATAATAATAATAATCTGGAGATGTCTATACATTATAAATATCGCATTTTGTAACATACCATTTTATCTTTCTAATTCTGGGTATGTGTTTTATGTTTCTCAGTTACACCTCAACATTACTGTCTCACCTGCATAGTTCTGTGGTCTGGTTCCTGACCTTTCATTAACTATTCAATATTTCTTCGTTTTCACCTCTCACTTTATATGGAATATCTTCTAGGTTCTTCAAGAAAGGCTTTGTTTGCTCCATGTTAATAATCACTTTGCCTGTTAAGTATGACTAGAGTCCTTTATCTTTCCAAAAGAACCAGATTTATATATGTAGATTCATTTATGTGCTAAATGTGTGGTAACTTCTGTACAGAAGACACAGATTTTTACGTGGCACATTCCATATTAGATTCATCTTAGGATAAGCTTAAAACTACCCCTAACACACTCTACGCGGATATTCTCATAGCCAAGTAAACTTTGTAGTGTGGTGGCAAGGCGGTTAGTATGGCGGAGTGGTGAGTAGACAGTAAGAGCGCAAGGAAAAAGAGTACTTCCCTCTCACTATTGTCTGTGTAGATTTCTATCACGTTTTCTGAAAGTAATTCATATTTTTTTCCAGTATAACTAACTTCTGTAGCTTGGATGGGCGATAGATTTAGCTGGAAATGATAAGTGGTAGGTACTGTATAAGCAGAGGACAGTAGAAGTTGGGCTGTGGTGGTGGGAAGCCGTGGTAGAGATGAGTGGTTGTTGTTTGATTAGTGGGTCACAGGGCTGTCGCGGAGGTAAGGGTCAAGCAATGGTGGTGGTGGTGACAGATGGCAGCAGAGGTGGTAGTCAAAGTTTCTCAGGAAAAAAGCCTTATCACTCACTGCTTTTTGGAAGAATTTTTTTTAAGTATATACATGTACTATCATTTGTCTAATTTGTTTGACTCACTGGCTGTTCAGTTTTTCCTTTAATTTAATGAAAATAATGTGTCACTGTGGCTTTCTTATTTGATGTCGTTGTTTCTCGTCAGTACTTTCCCACACATCACTACGAGTACACACAAACATTTCACAGTTAGCTAAGTATTACTTAGTTCTTTCCCTCGCTATTTTTTCTTTTTCTTTATTAATATGCAATTCCTTTACACACTTTTTTCTTCTTTTTTTTTTAACATAGATCCACCAGCTACAGCAGTCTGTAAAACGTCTCATGACATTCCCGACAGCCTCTGTCTATAGACCATAAGGGAACACCGCCTTAATTCTCCTTATTTCACTCAAAACTCTCTTTTTTGTTTTACTCTTAAAAACAAACAATATTATACGAATTAAAGTTCTATTAGCGAGGAAGTGTACTAAGCGTAACATTACATATAAAAGAGAGAAATGCTTTCTGATACGACGAAACTCAAGTATTTTTTTCTTCACAGGTTATGTTAAGAAGGATACAACACACCTGAAAGCTCCTATATGGGCAGACTTCTCATTCCTGGCAACAGCCTAGCCAAGGTAAAATAAATATTTTCCTAGCCGTATTTGTTATGATGTTTATTTTAATAATCAAAATGTAATTTTACTATTTACCAATTCTGAAATTCTGAAAGAGTTATAATATGCTGCAAAATCACACAGTTTCAAGAGCGATTTGAAAAATGGAAAACTTTAGACAGGTATGATTATAGATTATTATTATATTAAAAACCAAGCGTGAACTTGCTAGGGGTATGATTGCAGACATTTACAAAAAGGCAATTTTTATCAAGCAACGCATAGCTCATATAAAGGTTTGCTCTACAGTGTGTTTGGACTATACACAAATAACCCGCACATAAAAGAGAGAAGCTTACGACGACGTTTCGGTCCGACTTGGACCATTGACAAAGTCACACTAACCAGAAGTGGAGCAGGACGGCTATATATAGGCAGGAAGAGGTGGTGGAAGTAGTAGTACAAGAATGGTATATAATACCATATGAGTGTAAAATGCCTTTACAATTTTGGGGCTTCATGCATCACTATACCGTAGTTATAACTGGTTTGGAAACCATAGGCTTTTGGGGTTAATGTGCACTCACTAGGGAAGACGGTCACCTTATCTACCTGGAGTCTACCTGGAAGGTATTCCGGGGATCAATGCCCCCGCGACCAGGTCCAAGACCAGGCCTCCCGGTGGATCAGGGCCTGATCAATGAGACTGTTACTGCTGGCCGCACGCAATCCAACGTACGAACCATAACCCGGTTGATCCGGCACCGTCTTTAGGTATCTGTCCAGCTCCCTCTTGAAGACAACCAGGGGTCTTCCCGTAATGCCCCTTATTGCTGGTGGGAGGTTGTTGAACAGTCTTGAGTGTTCGCATCGCTATTGGGCTGTGCGGACGTGCTGCGCAGTAGCTCCTGATTGAGTTGGCTTTTGCGCAGTGTTGACGTGTACTTGGCTCTGTGAAGACCTGTTTGCCCGCTCTCTAGAATTGAAGCAAGATGCCCTCCATCGAGCAACTTTACCAACAGCTTAAGGAAGAATTGAGGTTGGCGAATATGGAAATTCGGCGACTGACCGAGGAAAACAAAAAGATTCGGAGTAGTCCTCCTGTTTTGAGTCCTCAGGTCAAGAAGGGAAAATGGTCAGTGGCTGGACAGCAGGGAAAGAAGTTGACGATAAAGAAGACGAAGGGAAAGGTAGAAACGATGAAGAAGAAAGGACTCCCGTAACTTGGGGAAAAAATCCAATACTTTCAGTGCTACCCGCGAATGTGAGTCGACTACTGGGAACGCACCAAAAAGACTTAAGGAATTACGAATTTGTTGTTTTTGGGGGATAGCCAAGTTAGGATAGGGGATGGGGCTTCGCTTAAAGGGACGGGTGGGAGACAGAGATTGCTTTTTCCCGGGGCTGGGATGGGGATATTGTTACCGTCTGGATGACATCATAAGGAATGGGGGCAAACCTATTTCTGTCTCAGTGCTGGAGGCAACGATGTTGGGAGAGTAGGAGTGAGGCCTGATTTGCAGGGGTTTGGTCGCAATAAAATAATTTTATAAGGGTGGGGAAACCCCCTCATATGTGGATTTTGCCAAGGAGGGGGGTGGAAATGAATGGTTGTCCCGGCAATGGGTCAATTGCTGGCTGACAATATGTAAAGAAAATGCGGGAACATTCATTGACAACTGGGCCTCTTCATGGCAGAAAAAGACATGTGCTAGGGATGGGGTTCACTTATCTAGGTGTGGGGTGGGAGCACGGCAACTGCAGTGGAGGGAGCAGTTAGGACTTTAAACTAGGAATAGGTATGGGTTTTGGCAGGAAAACAGTGAAGTCCAGTGTAGTAATATTACGAGTTCTAGGGGAACTAGTAATAACAAGAACGAGATAGATATTGAAAGCCGGGGACCTTGGGTGATAAGGACAGTAATAGGTTTAGTAGAAAAATAGAAATGAGCGGGAAAGGGGTAAAGAGAAAGGAGAGTCTTTCAATTTTTTATTATCCCTAATTGCCGTAGTGCTGGGAAATAAGATGGACGAGTTGAGATTAGTTCTAGTGTAGTAACATTGATTTATTTGCCTTAACCAGACGTGGTTTAATTTCAAAAAGTCGGACATGCCTGCGAAATGTCATATTCAGGGTTTTAAATTGTTCCAAGAAGATAGAAGTATTGGGAGGGGGGGGGGTGGCATTGTATGTCCGAGATCGCTTGAACTGTTGCATAAAAACGGGTATTAAGTCTGAAGTAACACATACAGAGTCTGTTTGGATAGAATTTTCAGAGGGCAGGAAAAACTGATTTTAGGAGTGATATACCGTCCCCCAAACTTAGATAGGGCCCAAAGGGAAACAAACTATGGGAGGAAATTGTAAGGCCAAAAGGCACGTTTAATGTAGTAATTCTAGGAGACTTTAACTTTAGTCATGTTGATTGGAATTTCTTGACGGGGAAATTTAGAATCATACGACTTCTTAGAAGTATTTCAGGATTGTTTTTTGAAGCAGTTTGTGACAAAAACCTACAAGGGGAAATAACCTGCTTGACTTAGTTATGGCAAACAATGAACCCCTGTTAATAATTTAGAAATTTCAGAGGAACTGGTGCTAGCACCACAAATCAATTCCCATTTAGCATTGAATGGAAGTACGATAGTAGCGATAACTCAGTAACAGTCCCAGATTTTCGCTTAGCAGATTACGAGGGGCTTAGAGAACACTTATCATCTGTTGACTGGGGTAACGAAAAGAGCTATCAATATGACAGTTTTCTGAACACTATACATGCGCTCAAAGAGCGTTTATCCCAATAAAGAAATTAGATCAAATAGAAATACCCAAAAAGGATGAATAATAGGCTCAAATATCTACTAGGGCATAAGAAAGGAATTTTTTAGGCGTATCAAAAGAGGTGAGGGTCATCTTATGAATCATATATTGACATTAAGAGGGACATTAAAAAGGGGATAAGAAAAGCTAAAAGGGACATGAAATTAAAGTTGCTAGGGATTCTAAAACTAACCCAAAAAGTTTTTTCCAGGTCTATAGAAACAAAAGTTAGAGATAAGATAGGTCCCCTTAAAAATAACTATGGGCACCTTACTGACAAAGAGAAATGAAATGTGCTTGATTTTTAAATAATTATTTTCTCTCAGTTTTTTACTCAGGGAAGACACTAACAATATTCCAGTAATTAATTTTTACAGTGGGCTAGAAGAAGATAAATTATGTAACATCACAGTCACTAGTGAGATGGTTGTGAAGCAGATAGACAGACTGAAGCAAAATAAGTCGCCGGGTCCTGATGAGGTTTTTTCAAGGGTTCTTAAGGAATGCAAAATGGAACTCTGTGAACCATTAACTAATATTTTTAATTTATCTCTTCAAACAGGTGTAGTGTCTGATATGTGGAAGATGGCTAATGTAACTCCTATTTTTAAAACAGGGGACAAGTCGTTACCGTCAAATTACCGCCCAATAAGCCTGACCTCAATTGTAGGCAAATTACTAGAGTCAATTATAGCTGAGATTATAAGAAGCCATCTCGATAAGCATAGCTTGATTAATGATACTCAGCATGGATTCACAAGAGGCCGGTCTTGTCTAACTAATTTATTAACTTTCTTCAGTAAAGCTTTTGAGGCTGTTGACCTCAATAAAGAATTACTAGAGTCAATTATAGCTGAGATTATAAGAAGCCATCTCGATAAGCATAGCTTGATTAATGATACTCAGCATGGATTCACAAGAGGCCGGTCTTGTCTAACTAATTTATTAACTTTCTTCAGTAAAGCTTTTGAGGCTGTTGACCACAATAAAGAATTTGATATTATTTACTTAGATTTTAGTAAGGCTTTTGGTAGAGTTCCGCACCATAGACTGTTAAAGAAAGTGGCAGCTCATGGCATTGGGGGAAAAGTGCTCTCGTGGATCGAGTCATGGCTCACTGACAGGAAGCAGAGAGTGTCCATAAATGGGGTTAAATCCGAGTGGGGATCTGTAACAAGTGGAGTTCCACAGGGATCAGTCTTGGGCCCGTTGCTGTTTATAATATATATCAATGATCTTGATGAGGGAATTACTAGTGATATGAGCAAATTCGCCGATGACACAAAGATAGGTAGGATAATTGATTCAAACGTAGATGTTATGGAACTTCAGGAGGATTTAAACAAACTCTATTCTTGGTCAGAAAAGTGGCAGATGCAGTTCAATGTAGATAAATGCAAGGTTCTGAAGCTTGGGAGTGCCCATAACCCTAGTACTTATAAGTTAAATGATGTAGAACTTAGCCATACAGATTGCGAAAAGGACTTGGGGGTTATGGTGAGCAGCAACCTTAAACCAAGACAGCAATGCCTAAGCGTACGTAATAAGGCAAATAGATTACTGGGATTTATATCAAGAAGTGTAAGCAACAGAAGTCCAGAGGTCATACTGCAGCTTTATACATCATTAGTAAGGCCTCACCTAGATTATGCAGCTCAGTTCTGGTCTCCGTATTACAAAATGGACATAAATTCGTTAGAAAACATTCAGCGTAGGATGACTAAATTAATACATAGCATTAGAAATCTTCCTTATGAAGAAAGATTGAAGACTCTTAAGTTACATTCACTTGTTAGACGAAGAATGAGGGGAGACCTGATCGAAGTGTATAAGTGGAAGATAGGTATTAATAAAGGGGATATTAATAAGGTCTTGAGGATGTCTCTCCAAGAGAGAACCCGCAGTGATGGATTTAAATTAGATAAGTTTAGATTTAGAAAGGACATAGGAAAGTACTGGTTTGGAAATAGGGTAGTTGATGAGTGGAACAGTCTACCTAGTTGGGTTATTGAGGCTGGGACTTTGGGTAGTTTCAAATCTAGGTTGGATAAGTACATGAGTGGGAGGGGTTGGATTTGAGTGGGACTTTCACATCAGAGCTTATTTCTTGGGTGGCATTGAAAATTGGGTTGGGCAAATGTTTTGTTAGTGGGATGAATTGTAAAGGACCTGCCTAGTATGGGCCAGCAGGCCTCCTGCA